CCGCAGAGCCTACCTAAGAGTCACATTAGGTCTGTAAAATTTTCCAGCTTGATCAGAGCTGTACTTTATAAATTCGTATTCCAAACATTCAATTGCACCGTGTTATAAATTCCATAAATCCATAAACATGGTAATCATATACCATTTCAAACAATTATCAGATAACAGTCATAATCCATAAATCATCACATTAAATCGGTGCATCAACAATACGAAAACCAAAGAATTCAGTGTACCACATATTAAAACAAATAAAACAGTTCAGTAATAAATAGGGAACACACCTCGATAATATGTTCAAATCGTGGATCTACTGATTGCTGGTTTCACCACGCTCTGCTACAGTTTTCGAACCTAATTTATAATATCACTATATTACTAATGGGTAACATAAATAAATCTCTAAAATCATAAAATTTATGAGTCTTACGAGTGAATACTGGTATACGTGGTTTAACTGATCTAGAAGAGTTGGGTCGAGCTATCGAACGATCCGGAGAGTCTCTTGTACCTTCAAACAATAATAATTAATCAGCCCCAAATCTTACTTAATTGTTCAAAGCTAGAATTCTTAAGTATATAAGCATTTTTTGGGTTTGACTATCATTTTGGGGTATTTCGAGTCTGAATTTGGCCAAACAGACTACGGAATCGGAATCAGGATGTCGAAAAACATAAAGTATGACTTTTTGAAAATTCAGATTCTTGGTCAAAGTCAAAGTCAACCACTTTGACCGTAGATTTGGAGACCTTCGGATTCGAATTTGACAAAACAGACCACGGAAACGGATTCAGCACGTCGAAAACTATCAGGATAGGTATACTCGGAAAAGATTAACGGTCGTTTAATGCTCGGTCAAAGCCATTTTAAGTTTTGGTCAAAGAAAGTCAACAGTCAACGGTCAACGGTCAACGGTCGGGTCGGGTCGGGTCAACGGTCGGGTCGGGTCAGACCGGTCAAACCGATTCAGACCGGTCAAACCGGTTCGAACCGGTTGAAACCGGTCAAACCGGTCAGAACCGGTTGAAAACCGGTCAAACCGGTTTCCAGCAGCCACTCACCCTGCGGCGGCGCGTGTGGCGCGTGAGGCGTCCTCCGGGGCCCTAAAAATCCCGAAAAAAATTCTAAAAATTATTTTGAGCGATTTCAAGATACTTACAACGATCGGTTCAAATTTTTGAACGGCGGAGAGCTCGATTTCAAATCGGCTGAATCTTTGACTGCACCACCTCCTCACGCGCCGCCATCTACGGCGGACAAGATTGACACCGGTGAACTCGGAATGGCACAAGGAACATGATGGTGCGGGAGGTGTCGTAAACAGAGCAACGATCAGCGGTGAATTTAAGATTTTCTCGGCGATAGAGCTAACAAAACCGTCGCTACTTTGACTGGAAATTCCCGACGTTTGGCCGCGTTTCGCTTCAATTAATTTGAAGGTTTTGCTCCTCGCTCGATGATGAACACAACGGTGGTTTCAAAACAACGATCGGAATTCGGACGGCGTCAGAATCGAGTTTGGAAGTTGTGTACGTGAGGAAGGATTTGTGAAATTGATTTCTGTTTTTCAAAACAGAAATCACGCATATATCAATTGTCTGCCGACACTCCATGGTTAAATTCAGGGCTTGGTCCCTGAATTTTCTTTAACTTTAAAACAAGCTCCAAGTTTTAAAATCTTTCAATTCAGTCCCAAATTGTCACAATTAAACCCTCAAATTTTAATTAAATATTATTTTGAAAATCGGGTTGTTACAGTTGAAATTAATTCCCTTGCTATGTTTGGTGTCATATTGACTAGAGCTCCTCCTCTGGCATCGTCGACCATTTTCATCTTTAAGGGAGTGAGCCCTTCATAGAAGTATTGAAGAAGAGTTTGCTCGGTTAATCTGTGTTGTAGACAACTTGCACAAAGCTTTTTAAATCGCTCCCAATAGTCATAGAGTGATTCCCAGTCTTTTTTATTTAATTCCCAGAATGCTTCTCCTCAATTCGCTTACCTTGCTGCTGGGAAAAACCTGTCAAGAAAAATTCAAGTCATATTATTCCAAGTGTTAACAGAATTCGGTGGTAAATAAAATAACCACTCTTTAGCAATGTCAACTAAAGAAAAAGGGAAATCTCTTAATTTAATTTGGTCATCCGAAACTCCCTGTGGTTTTATGGTTGAACAGACCAAGTGGAATTCTGCGAGATGCTTGTGTGGACTCACTAGGAAGCCCATTGAAGGTATGAAGAAGATGAATAAACCCATCTTTAGTTTAAACAGAGTTTCATCTTGAGGAAAGGCGATGCAAAGGGGTTGTTGAACCACGGGGGTTGCGGCTAACTCCCTAATTGTTTGATTATCCATCGGTGTTGGCAGTTCTGTGCGATCGACGTTAGGTGTGGCATCGGGTATGTAATGCGATTTGGCTTGTGATGATTCAGTGGAATGCGATAATTCTTCGTGGGAGGTGGAGTCAGAATTTTCGAGATTTGATTACTATTATCGCATTCTTCTTTTATCTTGAAGCATTTATTCGTGAATTCTTCTAGCTCGTGTTTCAATCTCCTGTCAAATTCTTCTAATGTGCTCGGGTTTCGCATAGTCATAAAACAAAAAGAAATTAAGCAGTAATTCGTTGTATTCCCCGGTAATGGCGTCAATTTGACAACGTGTCATTTTGATTTCAAATAATTATGTTATAATCTTAATAAAAATAAATAGAAAAGGATAGTGTAGAGAGTAAGGGTCCACCCGCAAGGAATATGGAATTGTCGATAAATTAATATTGCTTCTGGCCTAGGCGTGAATTGCATATGAAAGTAAAAATAGGGGGTTTGTTTGAAGAGTAAAATAAAGTAAAAAAAATGAAAGAAGGTAAATTCGAATTAAAAGTTTAATTATAAAAATCAGCCTCTGGCTTTCGCTTTGCATTAATTTTCATCGATCATCAAAATAGATCTTAGTTTCGGATTCATGTCGATTACAGTCTATAAGGACCAACCCCTATAACTAATTTTTCTCTCAATTGAACTAACAATCCAAAACAAATTTTGATTGTTAGTCCTTATGTGGACTAATCGCAACAATCGTTATTAGCACCAAATCGATTTAAAAGCTTTGAAAAACTCAACTCGAATTATAATGTCTCATTGAGAATCAAATCCGATCTCAATTTCCCTTAGCGGACCGCCGCTAAGTGTGCTCACGGGAAGTCGAATGTGCTACAAGCTGATTCTTTCTCCCAACTATTAACCAAAAACACAAACAATCCAACGTGCACTTTTTGAAAATAAAATGTTTTTGATTATAAAAGAATGGTCAATTACCGATCCTTGATTCCAGAAAACTGAAAATGTAACCCTAATAGTATTGAGTGTTTTTCAATTCTAACGATCGAAATTGAGTCATCGCTTCAGCCTTTTGCTATGAATAACTTAGCTAAGTATGATAGAAATCATACTTAGCATTTTAAAGAAAAAATAAATTGAAAAACTAGAAAAAATAAAAGTAAAAAATTTATAAAAGAAGAAAAATATAATAGAGAAATTCATGCAATATGAGATATTTGAGTTGTGTTTGAAGCTTACTCAATGTGGGTATTTATAGCTTCTTAAAACCCCTAAAAATGCTAAAAATAATTCTAAGAAAATACAAAAGATAATTCCTAAAGAAAATGTTTGAACTAAATCCTAAAAATAAAAATAATTCCTAAATTCGAATTCGAATTCGAATTCGAATTTGAATTTGCGGCTAAGTCTTCTGTCTTCACGAAAATGCTGACTGGACCTTCTAGAAGATGCTGACTAGACACCACGTCACCGGAGTCATGCCTCAAATCATGCCCACTAGTCCAGCCTTGACTCTAGAAAAATAAAAATTATAAAAATTCGTCATTTTTAGCATAGTTTCTGGAATCTAATGTTTTGCATAGAAAATAACAGAATAGGCCTAACTTAGTAACATAAATTACCATTCAATAAGTAATTAACAATAAAATAATAACTATTTAAATCACTCAACATCAACTTATATAGATTTTAATGAAGGGGCGCCCTTTATCTTACCACTATTCCTTCTCTACTGGTATGGTTTTATATTTGTTATTTATTACTTATTGAATTAGTGTTATTTACTCGTTCCTCTATTGTAGGGCCAAAATGACTCATTTTATTGAAGTGGATGTGCATCCAAGTTCTTAGACGAAGCTTGAGCCCTCAGCGAACTCTCTAGTAAAAGCAGTTGTAAGTGGCAGAACTTTGTAATAAAGTTTGAGTTTTAGAAAACTTTAAAAATGTAGAGTTTAAATTAAAAAATTTTAAAGGGATTAGTTTATATTTTTTCAAAAAAAAATAGGCTCTAACTAAAACTCTAAAATTTTGAGCGGCTTAAATGAAAATTTTTAAAAATTATGGTAGGAGATTTAGTTAAAAACATTAACAAATTTTAAAGTTTAATCTAAATTTCTAAAAATCTTGTGCAAGATAGATTAAATTTTTTAAAAGTTTAAAATGTAATTTTCAATTAATAAAATAATGTTCAACAAACTTTTCTGTCATCAAATTTAGAAAAAAAAATGGTTCAGAATTCGAGGATGTTACACTGGTGAAGATTGTAAGCCTGCATGGAAAGTCAATGTAGGGAAATCTGTATTATATAAATCATTTTTTTTTCATTTCATCCAGAAAATTGTCTTATAAGTTTTCGTTACAATCTATAACTATTACTAATTTTACTTCATTCCCAACATTTGGTCAAATCTATGCATCTTTTATTCAAAGAATGAAAGATGAACAAATACAATATTTTCAATTGCAGGGGCAAAACTCGTTTTGACAAGAAATGCTAATTATGCTGTATAGAGTATATGAATTCCCTATCATCTTTTGACTGCTGAACTTTGATTCTTGATTTGCAGTTGGTAGAACTATGTGCTAGATGGTCAAGTTTCAGGAACTTGTGAAACTGTTTTACATGATGCTGATGAATTGTTTTAAGCGTAAGTCCTCAATGTCGTCCTCGAGTAATCTGTAAATCCGTTGCGGGTTCGATTGATCTCAAGTTTAAATATGCTGAAGAGATGAATTACATAATACACAGAGTGCACAGATACTTTCTGTAACGTTAAATGTCATGCTGTGAATGCTATGGTTGGAAATTCAAGTATGGTACTAACATGCTTCTTCCACACAAGTTGGATGAAGATCGTAATCGCAGGCGTCGCATGAGAACGCCCAGAACTTACCTTGTCTCTTGCAATTATAGCAAACATATGCTTTAGCCATGTCCAGTTTAAGCACATGTTCATGCTTGATGTCCTGGATTTGCCTAGGCAATAAATCCCCTTCTTTTTTCAAGTTTGCTTCGATCTCTTCGATGCTTGATTGAGTGAAAGGGAACGCCTTTGCACCATACAGGGTGATTATGTTCTTCCCATTTGTGCTAATCGGTTTCCCATCTGGACCAATCAGAACCAATGCGGGAATGGCTTTGATGTTGAAGATCCGACACAGATCTTGTCGAGTCCGATCCTCGAATGGAACAGCCAGCCATGGCATACTGCATAAATTGGCATCGAATTCATTCTGTTCTCTGTCTGAAGAAACCAAAACAACCTCAAAACATCCTCCCCTGCTGCTCCTTAACTGTTTGTATGATTCTACAAGATGTGCAGTGAAAGCACGGCATGGAGGACACCACTGTGCGCCGAAGTAAAGGCCGACCGTCTTCCCAACAAGCTCGGATACTAATATCTGCAAACCCCGAAACATAACAGTGCTTATAACTGATACGTTAACACTATATTAACATCATAAAATCACGGAAAATGTTACCTTTCCACCATTGCTAGCAATGACATAATCTCGTCCTGGACCAGCTAAAAGTTGATCAAATTTTCCTCCTTGACGCTTCGAATCGTCGAGAGCATTCAATTCTTCTCGTCTCTTCCTTGTGAACGGAAACGCATCTTCACCGTAATCTTCAATCAATCCAATCAAGTCTTCATCAACTGATTGTCCATCCAAATTTAAATGGACGAGGGACGGAATACGATTCACATGAAACCTTTCGCGTAATCTCTTGTGCAAATTGACATCAAACGGGACAGCAAGCCACGGCATAGTCTTGAAGTGCACATCGAATCCATCGGCATCGTGGTCGAGGGAAACAAACACAATCTCTACCTCTTTCCCCATTGTTCTTAACGTGTTGTATAGGTGCACCAGTTTGGGGTTAAAACCTTGGCAGGGCCTGCACCAGTTTGCCGAGAAGAAAAGGCAGATAATCGTCTTCTCGTTATTAAATGAAGTTAAGGGTACCTAATAACACAAATATATACATAGTTGTTGAGTAATTTCAACTGAAAATCAATCAAAGGAACTATAACCTATCTGCAGGGATTTAAATTATGGTCCATTATCGGATAGCAACTGCTATATAATTATCAAGGTGTCATCTGAAATCATGCATGATCGTGATATTTGCAATAATCGCAATAACATCTGCTTTGTCTGCCATAACCGTAAACACAGCGCAACTAAAAATACGACAGTAACTATAATTTAAATCCCTAATTATATCTAACTATATTCATGACTACTTATTCATATATTCCAGGCAAGTAAATTTATGATAAATTGGAAGTTATGAGACCTTAGAAAGTAAATTTAATTTGAAGTACCTTTTCTTCACCGGATAAAAGGAATTCAACTCCTTGAGACGCCAAGATGGTGTTGAAGTCCCAAAGAGGCAAGCTTTTGCCCTGATAATCAGGCTTTGCCATGGCAACAGCAAGCTGAAGCAAATACAAGGCTAATATATTTTTATTTATTTTTTTCTGCAGATTTGGGTTGGCCTCAATTTCAAAGGAGCACTATAAGGGGTGCCAATCAATATATTCTGCAACGCAACTTGGGATAACTTGATGAGAAATTTTTTTTTCTTCAACAAGCAAAGCAGGAATATTCGATGAGCATATAAGTGAAGGATGAGGATGTAGACCAAGTTTCTGGGAATTTTAAACCGTAAACATCAAAGGAAGCATATCCACTTTTTCTTCGTTTATTCATATCTTATTATTGACAACGATGTTTTTCATTGGACCCCTATTTTGTTTTGTTTGTATTGTATATGATGGTTTTGGACTCATATCCATTTGTATTATCGAGCCCACTTTCAATAATATATTCATTCTTTAATTTACTTTTTTTATCAAAAAAATAATTAAAAAGTAAGGCTTATATATAATAGAACTAGAGATGGCAACGGATCGGGTTAGGGTTGGGTTTTCGGTAACCCAACCCGACTCAAAAATATGCACCCTCCGCTCGAACCTGATCCGATCCGAAAATTTTATATTCTTCATCCGACCCGACCTGAAAAATATATACCCTCCACACGACTTCGACTCGGTCCAAAAATTTAAAGGATAAATCCGACCTGACCTGACCCGACCTAATATAAAATAAGGACTTCATTAAACTAATAATAAAAATTTTAAGGAACTTACATTACTATCCTCAGGTCAGGTCGGGTCGGGTCAGAGTTTTTTCACCCTCCTCCCGGACCCGACCCGATCTCACCCCTTAAAAAATCCGACGCAACTCGATTTTTTTACCCATCAGATTCGGATTAAATTTCCATCTTTAAATATAATTATAATTTTAAATTATTAATAAATAAAATATAAACAAAATTTAAAATAACAAATTAACATACGCAAAAATCTATTAATTTAACTTCAATCCATTCATATCCTATAAGCGAAACAAACAAAAATATAATTTTTAATTTTTAATAAATAAAATATAAGTTGATTTAAAAATTAAAAATAAACATACACAAAAGTCTATTGATTTAAATTCGATTCATTAAGTACGAATCGAGCGACCTCAATAGTAAAAAAATTGTTGTTATTTCTTGAGGTCTTAGGTTCGAGTCCCACGAATGCGAAAGGTCTAACCATTCAATATCAAATGGATAAAAGTTATCTTTGAATGGATACTACCTTGGACTTACCCTAGATTAATGAAAATTTTGATTCATTTATGTCCTATAAGAGAAACAAGATGCTTGAACCCAAGACCCATAAAAATAACAATCATCCGTTTAACTACTTAGATAGCTTGCTTCATGATGCTCATAATGTTTTTTTAGTATGAACGATTGCTGTCTTCATCTTTTTTTAATGAGAAGAAAGGTACATGATAGATAACATGTGGCATTACAAGCTTCACTATCTCTAGAATCATCATATAAGGCAGAACTTATCTCTAGATCCATTAATATCCTATAAGCGAAACAATAAGCTTGAACTTTCGTTAATGGGTATGGTGTGATATCCCAAATTATGGGTTAGTAGTTTTGGGGTTACCCGAGAGGTATGTGGACCTCACAGAGTTCATAATTAAAGCCATTTTTCGTTTGGGCTTAATTGGGTTAGAATTAGGCCTAATTCATCATAAAAAGGGGATTTTTTAAATTTAAGTTAAAATGTGAAGGACCAAAAGTGTAATTACACCATTGTTAAAATTCAAAGGTGATTCTTAGGGTTTTATAACAGATTTGGACGTGGGGTTCTCCCAATTTGTTTTCTCTTCTTCTTTTCTTCCTTCATTCTTCATCTTCCTTCTCCATAGCAAGTGCCTAGCCAAGGTAAATGTTGAGGTTTCTTCCTTACTTTCTTAAGCTTCAAAATCCGTTTTTAATATTTCCTACAACATCCTTTTGCTACAAAATCCCTACATCTTTGTTGGTTGGAGAAAAAGAATAAGAAATCAACATAGGAATGGAATGTGGCTAAGCAAAGAGCTTCATTTAGGGATTTTTTTGACCAAGATAGTGTATTTCTAATTCTTTGTGGTGTTAAGGCTTTCATAAGCATGATGAATTCTTGAGATTTGGCTATTTAAGCATTTTAGGGTTTTATACTTGTTTCATATCATAGATGACAAATTGGATGTAAAGCATCTGTTTTAATATACTTTATGACCCTAAGTAGCTCCCCTAAGCTTTAGCACATGATTAGGAACCAAACTAAGACATTTGAGATAATTTTTAAGTGTTTCTCAAGCTTAAATAAGACATTTATGGGTTCGAGCATGATATTGTTCATCCAATATCAATATTGGTTTAACAATGATGAATTTTAGAGAAAATGGTTGGGAGTTCCGATACTATTAGGGAGAATATCGATACTACCCCTATATTATTGATTTCCAAGGTGTACAATATCAGTACTATGTCAATTTTTCAGTAATAGAAGCCATTTTTTGTACCGATACTCATAAGGGTATCGATACTCGACCCTAGAGTATCGATACTACTCACTTTGGATGGTTAGATTTGACCTTGTTATGATCTGTAAGAGCTAAGGATGATCTGTAATGGTGGAACTTAGTCTGTAAGGGACACAAAGGACCATGAGGGCCTAGAAACACTCATAGGAGTAGGTTACGATCGAAGTAACCATACCAAGTATAATATGCCCAAGTATCTTTAGTCAAACACATATCAAATAATTTAGGGTCGAAAAGCATTGCAAAGGATATACCGACAAGCGGTACGATAAGTAAGTCAGATTATGTAATAACAAAGTTGTATTCTTATTTAGCATAATTCAGTCCTATACATTAAAGTAGAGGGATGAAATTATGTTAAATTAAAGTATATAAATTAAATACTGGGTAAACTACACGTTTAGTACCCCAAATATCCTTTTTCTTCCATTTTGGTCACCTAACAATTAATTTTTCAAAATCATACCTAACATTATATTTTGGTTTTATTTTGATCACCCACCATTAAAAATATTATCAGTAATGCCGACATGTCATCATAAGATAATGTCATGTAATCATTGAATTTTGTTTAGATTTCATATCAGCAATTCTGTTATATTTTTAACAGTGAATGACCAAAATGAAACCAAGGCGTAATATTAGGCATAATTTTGAGAAAAAAATAATAGTTTGGTGATCAGAGCAGAAAAAAAGTGATAGTTGAGGTACTAAACATGTACTTGGCTCTTAAATCTTTTATTTGAGCTTGATAGAGGGAGGAATGCACAAGTATATGAAGAATGAGCTTTCCTAGGAAGATGTAGTCACTAGTAGAAAAAACCCCTTTAATGACGCGCATTGCGCGTCATCTATTGGTGCGGATGACACACATTTGCCTGTCGTTGAAGCCACTGACATGAATTTCAGATGATGCGCAACTGTGTTTCATAAATCTATGACGCGTATTTATGATACACATTTATGACACAGATTTATGACTCTCGTTAATAACATTCATTGAGTGACATTGAAGCCCCCATCATAAATTAAGATGACACACATTTGTGTGTCATAAATTTATGACACGCATGTATGACTTACATTGCGCGTCATTGAAGCTCCCGTCATTAAAAAAGATGACACACATTCAGGGGTCGTGATTGTATTACGTAAATTATATATATATATTAGATTGACAAATAATTAAACTAAATCACATTTAATGCCTCATAATACTAAATATATATATAATATTATATATAAGAAATCCATTTGCATACAATATATTCACATTAAGTTATAAAAAATATTGTAATCATATGTCGATACAAAATATCACGACATAATAAAGTTCTACAAATATGCCCTCACCATCTGGGCGTTTACACAAGAAATCATCATCAAGTTATACTAAAGGGGAGTCTTGTGAAAAATCAAAAGTAGCATTGTATTCCAACATATCATCAGTTTCACCATTTGCTCCATACTTGTACATCTTATGTGGTATGAAGCCGACAACCGACAAATTCACACCTTGTCTACCTAGCAAAAAGAACACAACTTGGAAGATTCATTGCATACTATTAAGTCTGTTAACTACTTAAGATTCTGCAGAACTTTGATAAGTTAGATAACTACTAAGTGCAATACAATTCTCCCAAGTTTCAATTCATAACTTCTGCATATCTGATCCAATGCAGTACGGTAATGATCAAACAGTAGCCAGATACCATATCCAAGCTTCTAGTGCTTTTGCAACTTGTATTTCAGAACCATATTGTGTCATTGAAGCACTAGCACTTTCTGAACCATATTGTGTCATTGAAGCAGTGTTATTCTCACCATCAACTTGATCATTCTCATCCTTGGGAGCAGGAACTCACTCTCTGTAAAGATGATATTCAGGCAAATTGAAATATGACACATGAACTAGACAAACTAAGTTTGGGGGAGAAATTATGGAACTAACATGATTCCTAAAATTTTATGAAGCATACCTAGGCAAAGAAGCATGATGTCTTAGAAGTGGAGTACTTCTTTCACCTTTACCATAATGCTCCTCCAAATGTGCAAATTGTCGTTTGAATCGCTCAACGCCACTATTTGATTGAAAAAAGAAAAATAATACATATTTTTTCTTTTATAATTAATTTTATACAACATATTTAAAGTTTGTATTAATTTTTTGGGGTTGGGATAGGGTTGGGATTTTTATTTAAAATTTTGGGTTGTTGAGTGATGGGTTGGATTAAAATCTACTGATATCGGGGATCGGTAAAAACTCCTAACTTTTGGGTCTTGGCCAGGACGATAAAAAATATGACCCAGACCATGCTGTTATCATCCCTAATCTCCTCCCTTAATCTTAGAGAAAAGTTCTAGATAATTGAGTGAGATAAAAATTACAATCATACCAGAGGGCCTTCAGGGTCACTAAGAAGCGTGTCCCATATGTGGAGACTTCCCGCAAAGTCGAATTCTTGTGTTTTAGAGCAAAGTAATCCACCTGAATAAGTAAAACTGGGGGTTGACATGTGTGATATTTAAACACAACAGTTAGCATTCAAGCCCAACTAATTACCTTGACAAGCTGCGGAAAACGAAAAAGGTGAAAGTGTTCAAAATTTTGCAGGTAAGAG